AGCTTGTACATAAACACTGTGGTGGTGTAGCCACAGCAGTACCACGACTTAACATTGGAATCTGAAGAACTCGTTTGAGGAAGATTTTTTGTGGGATTATAACATTCAGTAATGTCCTATCTCAGCCTTTCAGAAAAAAAGCATAGAAGTGTAAATTATTTCAGTATTTTACTTTCTGAGACTCTTGACCTCTAGGTGAAGGTCAAGGCATGCTGATGGGTCACTGTGTAAACCATGGAGAAGAGCTGATTGTCTGAATGGCAGGCAGCAGGCCAGAGTTAGGAGCAGAATAACAGTATGATGAGGGCTGGAGGCACACAGCTGTCCCACACTGACTCCTCAGGTCTGTGCTGATGGAAACCCCGTGTCCCTGCACAGGGGACAGTGTTCTGTGTGTGAGATGGGGGTTGCACAGTTGGTGGGTGTCTGCCCTTCCCTCAGGACAGCTGAACCACTTTGAACCACCACCTGGCAGTTTCTCACACCATTACTATAAGACACAATATTTTTGCACAATAGAAACACTATGGAAGGGATTTGCATTCTTTGCTACTCATATTAATTACATTTTCTATCAAAATAAGCCTTTAATATAGGACACAGATCAGACACCAAAGAGCTCGTCTTGTAGAGAAACAGCTCCTTTGTTGCTGGAGGTGTTAGTGCTGCCTGGGTAGTCAGCGGACCTACAGCTCCATTTCCCTCTAGATGCTATGTTTACAGAAATCATTTAGTCCTCAAATGTGTTAAACTGCATACAGCTCATACATTGTCAGAATCCTGTCTGCCCTAGGAGAGATGTCTGCAGCCCTTCTGTCAAAGTAGAGTCAGTGGGCTTGGGCTGCTCAGGACTCGTGCCCATGGCAGAGGGGTCCTCACTTAAATTCTTGACAAGGATGGGGATTGCAGAGAGCAGAATAAATGTACAGATGGACCCCCAGGGAATCAGCACGAATAAGGGGGGAGCTGAGGCCTGGAAGAAGCGTTTGTTTGTTAGAGTGGTTGTGAATTAACTGATGGAAAGAAAGTTATTTGGCTGTCTGAATTGTTAATGAGTAGCAAAGCCTTTTTTGGAATGGAAAAGCTGACTTTTTTCAGGTCCTGCCCTGATAAACAGTTACTAGAATGCGAAATGCCGAGCTCCATTCAGACAGCAAGGCTTCTTCAATAAAGGGAATGCTCTTGTTTTTTTCTACACCGTTCATTTCATGACATAGGTCTGCCCTTCCAATTCTGGAAAACGGTAACTCAAATCAGCAATGGTCCCAAAATTAAAAGAACTTCGAAATGCAGCTACAGCAGCTGCATCTATCAGTTGCATAAAGCTAGCCCAAGGATATGATAAAGCTAGCCCAAGGATATGGCAACAGATAAACCCCGGCATTAAAATGGTTGCATATGCTGAATTACAAACCATATTTCACTTGCATCCTAACCTCACTATGGCAATGGCACTGGAAATGGTCACGCCCAGCGCTGTCCCACATGGAGATGACACTGTGTTCTGAGCAGAACAATTCACATTCCTGTGAATAAAGAGTCTTTTTGAGACTTTCCTTGGTTTATATTTTTTTACAGTGTGTGCTCACCTAACTGTGCTTTTCTGTATCAAAATGGTTTCTAGTACAGTTTCTGTACTTCTGTCCTTGTAGCTTTGCTGTAATGACTGCACCTCTCATTTGATTAAAAAGCTACATCTCATGAATGAGTTCACAGCTTCCCATCATCAATATATTTAATGCTGTTTTAAAAGGTGATGTATTTCCTTATTTTTTTTATTGTCTCTCCTTGTAGGAAAAACCACTGGCTCAGTGAGTTTCTTCTTTCCCTGGGGAACTTCTTCCTGATAAGCAGCTTCTCTCTGTGCCCATTCTCAGGATGATCTTGCCTCCTAAAATCACATTTTAGGAAAAACAGCTCCCTGCCATTTCTGAGCTGAGTCCTGACTTGACCCAGCCCAACACATTTACATCATATCCACTCACCTGACATCGTAGGAGCCGATCTGTGACATCTCTCATGTTTCAGGAACTCCTGATTAGCTTTAGCCATCAAACTAATTAGACAACTCACTAATCATTGCCTCAGGGACATCATCTGGCAGTTTTCTATGGTCAGGCAAAACACAGTGGGATGCTTATCATCTTCATAAAAACAAGGATACTTTGCTCACCCTGCATACATGGCCAACTTGGAACAAAGTTTTTCCTGTTAAGATCCCATTGGTGGCCATGTCTAATGACCCCACCATCACCACCATCATCTGTTACTTATACATTTACTTCATAGTTCATAGAAGTGTAATTTCTTATTGCTCTTTTTTTTTTTTTTTTTCCCACTTCACACATCCAGAGTCCTAAAGTACTATTTTATTCATCTGTAACACAACCCCCACACCCCCAGTGTTCTTACCTGCCCACACTGCTGTATGTGAGAGCACGCTCTGGGCTGGAGAGCTGTGTCCCTCCAACCCACATGTGTGCACTGAGCACTTTCACAAAACCTGTCTTCCAGACAGCTCTTCTGGCAGGAGCTCCTCAGTCACTCTCTCCTTTTCGGCTCCTGTTTATGCTGAGACACCATAGAATCATAGAATCACCAAGGTTGGAAAAGATTTCCAAGATCATCCGGTCCAACCGTCCACCTACCCCCACTATTCCCCACTAAACCATGTTCCTCAGTACAACATCTAAACATTTCTTGAGCACATCCATGGACGGTGACTCCACCACCTCTCTGGGTAACCCATTCCAGTGCCTGACCACTCTCTTGGAGAAGCATTTCCTAACCACCTCTCAGCCACTTGTAGGAGGAGCATCATGGGGGGCCAAGACGCTCACATCTGCCATTAGTTTAACCAGTAAGACCTGACGTAGAGCAAACTTTTGTTTTAGGTTCACTTCTGATGAACAGAACTGAAATGCAGAAATGAGCATTAATGAAGAATTCAAATATAAATGTCTTGGCATGTTTTTAATCTTTTAATTACACTTTTCATCTCAAATACTTTCAATAGGAAGCAAAATCCAGTTGTTATACAGAAGCGGGTTTAATAGATGTACATCAGAGAGACAGATCCAGCTCCGCTTGCAGGGGGACAAAGCAGGCAGCTTACAGAGGTGTGGTACAACTTGCCCAAATTCTTCAGGGCTTTTTTGAAAGATCATACTTAACCTTCTGTCTGTTAAAAAAAAAAGGGGGTAAGTACCATAAACCTTCCTCAGCCCTTCCCCAGCCCTTCCCCCAAAAAAGTGCAAAAAATGCAGAATGCAGGAAATAACATTTATACCCATGAGACTCTAAAATATCTCTGGTGCCAGCTGTCTGGCTTTCTGCAAACACCAATGTTACACTGGCAGAGACCTCTGTGGTCAGGTACTGCGGTCAGCAAGCAGTGAAGCGCAGGGATTCCTTCCATGCAGCATCCTGGAACTGCATGCTGAGCTGGGTGGTCAGACTGCAAGGGGGAATGAAGCTTCTTACCCTACTCAGCCAGCTTGGTCAGTGCTTTGTAGAAGGTTAAACTTATTTCTATTAAAGACACTCAGTTCTTTGCTTCTGAAACTCAGTTATATCTGACCACCTTTATATGAAGTGCATCCAATAAAGAAAAACCCTCTGCAATTCAGCTGAGCAATTGGCAAAGTAGGATTAATTAATTAGGGCTCCATACACAGACTGGGTTTCTTCTTTTTTTTTTTTTTTTTCTTTTTGAAGTTTAGAAAGTGAAAAGGATTTTCAGAGATATGAAATACTGCAGATTTCTTGTTACCACAGCTCTAACGTTAGAACTAAAAATACAACCACCACCATTGTGGCCATATCCTAACTTGGTTTTATACATTCCAACCATTCTGTTCATAAACAAGTTGGGTATTGCTTCATTTTACAGTCTGAGTTCTATCCCGACTTTCATAAAGATCAGCAAAACAGGACATTAAAATAGAGGATGCACAAAGTCTAGCAAAGTTACTGTGTTGTTAGCTTCAGGCACTGCTCACATCACAAATCAAACATGATTTGGTATATCAAATTTACCTTGGGACTTGAAAACAGGGTGTAATGCATAATTTGAAGTGATTTGTGGCAGATCTGTTAAGAGAGAGGAGAGGTAAGACCATTCAGCACACAGGCTTTGAGCCTGGAGCTGGCGGTGCCCTCAGACTCAGCTCCCTGCAAACACAGGCAGGGAACGACACTGCTGACAGTCGCACATTGGTAAAATCACACTGCTTGCAGTCACTGTGCACCTTCTGGAAGATACCCAGCCTTGATTGAATGTTGGAGATGTTACAGTAAACATTATTCTTACCGTTTAAGAAGAAGCCTTTGGTACAAATTACCTATTTTCAGCTTTAACCACTTGATTGCGATAACATGAAATCAAAAGTGCCTGGGTTATTTGCTAGGTAAACAATGTTTATGAGCTTCTTTATAGCCCATCGCTGTCAGGCAGGCTTCTACATCCTGACTCATCTCTGCATCTTTTTCAATTTTCCACCCACCACCACTTCTGGAGGCACTCCAACAGCTGTCTGAATTCAGCTACCACTTAGCAGTTCCAAGGTTGAAACACCTGGAAATCGCAGGCAGAAGGCCCCAGTAATTCATGAATGCTCTAGAAAATGATTGCTTCACTTGAACTGCTTCACAGTTACTTCACTTGAAACAAACATTACTGATACTCTTTAGTTAGCATTTGGAAAGTGCATGTATTTCTAAGCCCAATGCTTTGCTGTAACATCAAATTTACTGCCCACTCATCTTCTAAAAGCAGTTACCAAGAGTGCAACTTTTTCCTCCCCATCACAGAATGGCCAGGTTTGAAAGGGACCTCAAGGATCATGAATCTCCAACCCCCCTGCCACATGCAGGGCCACCAACCTCCTCATTTAACACTAGACCAGGCTGCCCAGGGCCCCATCCAATCTGGCCTTGAACACCTCCAGGGACGGGGCATCCACAGCCTCTCTGGGCAGCCTGTTCCAGCACCTCACCACTCTCATAGTGAAGAACTTATCTAAGGCCAGGAAATAGTATACGCATTAAAAACGTCTACACTATTATTTTAAGCAGGTTACAGCAATAGCTCATTGTGGAAATAGATATCCTATGTAGGGTGAAGGAGCCCTTAAACAGGAGGTCATGGAGAAAAGAACACCATAACTGCTCAGGTGGAAGCTGCAGATCACTTTCTCACTCTTTCATAACTGTGTTCATCTGAACCATTCCCACCACTGTCCTGTCTCCGTTCTTCTCCAGGAGGAACAAAAGGACTGCAATACTTACTACCTCATACAGCCCTAAGTCAGAATACATCAAAGTGTCTTAGGTGCAGAAATGCCCCATAACAGAAAAACAAACATGCCGAGTCTAGTTAATAGAAATATCAACTCAAGTTTTTCCTATACAACAGTTTATTACTAACAAAGACAGTAATAACCAAAGCACTGAACACATGTATGAAGTTACCCATTTACAAACAGAACGGAAAGAAGAGTACTTGGTGTGCATTTCCACAGACTGTTCAGGCTCTTCCCACTGTCCTCGGCAGTGAGAATACTAGGTATTGTTAGCAGGGAAATTACAAAAGAAATAGTACATCCTATTTTAGACAATAAATTACAAATGCTAAAATGCACACAACAGTATAAAAGTAAATACATTCTATTTGTAATGCATTGTCAATAAAACAAGCAACTTTGGCTTATTCAGTGTTTGTATGACTTTTGTGCCATGCAATTTTGCTCCACGGTCCAAAGCATCACCTCAAGCACTGCACAAACTGCAACAACACTGCTCGGCACAGTAGCAAAACCAGAACATCAACTAAGAGCAATTTTCCTGCTGGCAATCAAACAGAAGATGCTTAACATTCTCATAAAATGCACTCAGCTTTTGGTTCACTGGAGCCACGATTCTTAAAAGCTGAAGAACCCAACTCACCCACATCAGCAGGACCTGCTCTTGTGCTGCTCTACCCTAAGAGAAGCTTTAGAAGTTTTAAGGCCTTTCTGAGTAACAAAAATTATATTGCTGTAGCGTGTAGAAAAGTAAGACTCTGTAGAAACAGCATTAAGGTCTTGTTTTAAATAAATGTATTGTTAAACAAACCTGCATATTAACATAACTTTATTTTCTGCAAGGTACCTCCCTACAGAATTAAAATATATATATCAAGTGACTTGCATAGAAACAGAAGAGAAGTATACTGTCACTGCAGCTCTGGGAAGAACACCACCAACACCCAACAAACATGTACTACAGATTCTGTCCCCATGCTGTGCAGGATCTGAAGCACTCCCGTTTGGCACAATGCCCCAGGACAGCACAGCAGGAGATGCTGAAAGCAGCACTTTCCTGAAGCAGCGCTGCACCTCAGGCCCTGTCCCTGAAGAGAAATGTAGAGCTGTCTGCCCAGCCTTGCCCAAACGTGCAGGGTATGGTGGAGCTTTGCACCTGCTTTACTCACAACTAAATAACATTGCCCGATCATCACAGAACTGCTGACTTCAGTAGCATCCAACAGAAGCACGGGAACTTGACCACCTTTGTACAATACATACAAAACAGCAGCTCTAAATATAGGCCTTATGCAGTCAGTTATTTACATAATTCATTTCTATGTACAAAATAAATCATTTCGATTTCAGATTCAGTGTAAAAGCTACCATAAAACAGTGCTATGAATGACACATCATGACAATTTAGAGAGTAACTTTTTGCATCTCTTAAAGTGATAATGCTGTTTAATAGGTAGTAAAAAAGGAAAAAGTAAAAAACTTGTAAGATATCAAAGCTGCAGATTGACATCTTACACCTTGAAAAGTAACAGTGCTTTTTCTGCATTATTTCAATGCAATTTATTTAATAGTGTTCTTTGAATAGGGAATAATATTTCTCTCATCTCCTTAAATTACTACTAAGCAATCCAGCTGTGTCCCATATAACTTCAATTTCCATTACTCCTGGATGGGTATAAATACAATACATTATTGCCAGTTGTCCCCAATACAAAACTTACATTTTTATAAGTGCAAAACAAGATGTGTCTGATTTTCAGTAAGGCACAGAACGTCTGCTGTTTTCAGTGTAACAAAATCCACATCAGTTTAATACATGGAAAGAGTTCATATAAAAACATCAGTCTTTCAATGGTTTGAACTGTTTCCTGAATCCAGCTCCTTCCTGCCGTCTGCGGCCGAGTAGACAAGCAGTGATATGGAGCCTGACTGGGAGATGTCTGCTATTTGGGAACTGCTGCTCTGTAATGGAGGAGACTCAATAAAATCATTCCTGGGAGTTACCCTGTCAAGTAATAAGAAATAAAACCATCCATTTTAAGCATAATGCATTAGGCTGGAAAAAAAAAAAACCTACAGTTTTTAGCACTAAACTGTTAATATCTAAAGCTATTTTCCTATACAGGGAACACAATGGGGGTTTTGTAGACTACTTCAAGATTCCCCCACTCTCCCCTTCTTCAGACTTCTCTAAAAATGACTGTATTGCAACCAAATTTCTCGAGGATCAACAGCTCAAAATTATCCTGCAAGCTGAAGCTCCAGCATTTGACATTTAAAAGGAAAAAGAATCCCAAACCCCCAGTAAAACAGCCCATATGCTAAAGATACACAGTCAAAGTTCGCAGGAATTACAGTACTTAACAGCTACTCAGGGTTAACTGCACACTGATTCTTCATAGAGAAGAAGTAGAAATAATGATAATAGACATTAAAAAAAAAAAAAAGAGCAAAGGAATCTCACCTGCCTTCACCAATTCTCTTCAGGCTCTCAGACAAGCTACTCATATCACACGTGCTGTCTGCTTTGTTTCTTTTTTCCACCTGATCCACGGTCAGTTTAGAAATACTTAACATTTGATTTCCACTGTTTTCACCTTCCTCAGCTTTTTGGGCTGATGTTCCATCCGCCTCCATCTCTTTCTCAGATGTCTCTGGAGAAGTTTTAATTTCTGCAACAGTTTCTTGGCTCAGGTAATCGTGATTGGTGATTGCTACTGCAGAAGTCCCATGATTTGTTGTGCCACCTGTGCTAGTTCCCATTGACTTAGAAATTACTTTCAATCTGTGTGAACTTGACTTGTAGTGCTTCTTCTTATGCTTAACTTTGGAATTGTGCCTCAAGAAAAATTCACATGATTCTTGCAGTACTCTTCGACTCTCACTGATTGGACTGAAAGAAAACACATACACAGAACTGAATTAACCTGATATATAACTTGATAACCTGAAATATAACTTGGTACACCAAAATGTAAAAGAACAGCAACCAGTGATGTAATCTGAGCTGGATGTTCATGAACACAAGGAAAACAACTGTATGAGAAAAGAGGAGAAAAATCTGTAATGGTTCCAAAGTAATTATGTCTGTGGAACAATTAAACAAAGCCGATTTCTACATTTCTTACTTCTGCAAGTAGGTCCAATGCCTTCAGTAAGTCAGTCATCTAAGAGAGGAAAGCAGGATTAGCTCATAAGCAGCTGTATTACCAAATTAACTCCATGCAACTTTGTTCAAGTGAAAAAATGGTGGGTATTATAAAACTGACTTCATTGCTTTAAAGCTCTTGTAGCTGAAAGCAGTTAACATCTGAAATGCAGGAAAAATTATACAGGAAATGGAAAGTGAGGAGAGGGAAAGGAAGCTATAAGCTCACCATCATGGAATGCAGATGCAAAATAAAAGGAGCTTAAGGACTGCTGGCTTGGGAAATTCAAAGAAATAAAAAGACCTTAAAATACATTATAATCTATGAGCAGTACAGATGATCTTAAAAAAAAAACTAATTGAGGAATAAAATGGCAAAAATAACAGCTACAAGAAATGGAGATGACATTTGTAACCTCTTTAAAATCACAGATATATAATTACTAAAATTACATAATAAAACCAAATTGTTCTGTCTCAGAATACAAATAAGGAACGGTACTTTAATACAATAAGGCCTAACTAAGGATGGCACAATGAAAATTTATTTTCAAACATGCAAGCCTGGCAGAAAAGCAGAAGATGTTGCTATTACATGATAGTAAACATAGCAGCTAAGTACTGTGCCAAATGAGGGAGCTGAAGTACAAGAAAGGATCTAAATGACCAAAGTTATCTTTCCTGACTGGAGTGGAAACCAGAGATGTATTACCCAGTGCATTACCACGGTAACACATCTCTATGCAGAGAACAGATCAGAAGAAAATATTTTGTCTTCTCAGAATGCAGTCAAAGAGTCATTGTGTCTGTAAAGTCCCCACAGACTTCAGCAGAACTTTTTGCTGATGCCCATATGCAAACTCCAAAGAAGAATGGGTTCAAGAACAACATCTGGACTGCCTGAGCTACGCTTAAGAACCATGTCTGAAATCCTACATATTTTAAAGTACATGTTTTTAAAAGGAATTAAAGTTGCTCTTACTCTCTTTTGCGGTTTCTGTTGAAGAAATTGGCCCATTCCGAACAGGTCTTTTTACTTCCCACCCAGAACACTGGAGATATGCCAACAATTAATGTCAGCAAATATTTCATCAAAAACAGAAATATTTCTGGTCTTGCGAGTGCCTTTGCCTGGAAGATAAAGTTGAATCAGCAAGTATGTTGTTGACTTTGTACTGATTAATTTTTTAAATGCAGAAAAATGAATTATGTTAGAGAGATCTAACATAATTCTCCTCATGGCTGCTCTCCTTTGTTGAGGCACGTATTGCAGACACACACAAGACATGTACAGTCAAGTCAGACCTGGTCACATCTGCTCACACTCTCCAGTTGAGTGCAGAGGAGATTAGTTAGAAGGAAATCTTTTTCTTTTAAATTTAAAGGATAATAGTATTTGTAACCATGTTCTTCAGACATTTGTATGTGTTAGATTCACCCTTTCAGCATAAAAGATGAGTGGATGATCTGGGTGATCACAAGACAGCATTGTTGGAGCCACAGGGAGTCACATAGCTGTTTTCTGGTTATTGCCAGATTTAACCACCCATTTGCAAAAGTGGGTCATAGGAGCTCTGTAACAATCTTTTGCTCCTAAACCGCTAATTGAATTTATGTTACCTGGTTATTGTACCAAACAAAAGTTAGCATTTGAGTCAGCCACGTAGCATCAACTACTTATATTAACATTTATTTTTATTTGGTTCTGCTCTGATCAATGTAAAGAGGTCTGCAAGCTAGCTTAGAGAAGCCACAGCCAAGCACATCTCTCTAAGTTACTCTACAGTTAGCACATGCTGTTTAATATACAGACAGATCCCAATAATTACATCTTATTGGGATCTGTTATTGTAGAACACTCCCTCTTGCTATTTTCTCCTTCCAGTAGGTTAATTCCAGACTAAGAATGCATGCTCTTTATGCCTTATTATGCTAAGATGTTATAACCAAGCACTACAAAACATTTTGTGTTTTGGGTTTGTTCGTTTTTTTTTTTTATTGGTTGTTTTTGATAAAATGCATACAAGCTTTATTTTCAACCTTGTTTATTCCAGGCTAGTTACACTGATACTGAGCTCGATCTAAGACTTGCTGAAATGCACTCGTTAAGAATGCTGCAGATGACACAGAAGATGTTAGAGAACATAGAAGGATCACACCTTATCCATTCCATAATGCTTGTGCTTATATTCTTCTCTGATGACAGCTTATTGCAGTAAAAACATGGATGTTATGTACACAGCAATGAAAGATAATGTGTAAAACTTGCAGTTTCCTAGGGATGGTTTCTACTTTCTATTTGTTCTTAAATAGAAAGACAAACCACAAATTACTTTCAGTTGCAGAGAGTTCTGTATCTTTACAAAAGATTTAATCCACTGAGAATACTGAATATAGGATAGCTTGACTTTAAAAGCTTCTCCAATAAGTCAATTTCTTTTTAAGTCATTTGTGAACATCTCTGCAATTTAAAGCGTATTTTTGTTTTAAAAAGTTTCTTCTACGTTAGTGAATATCAGCCTACAACTGACATGAAAAAAATACATTGGAAATGTGTAATTTCAAGTGTTTTACAGTTCTGCACTTCAAAGAAAAAAAGATGAAATGATTTTAAACCCATGGTAGCAAGTAACATTTAAAATCAACTTTCAAGACTCATTTTTTCCACCTCAATAGCAAATGATGAAAATTCACCTCAGGTACTGAAACATTGAGCCAGACATCCAAACACTGAGTAACTGCTCTTAGGAACAGATATGGTGAAAAACAATCCTCCAGCATTATTTGTGAAATGAAGTGGAAACATTTCCTTTAGGTTGTTGAGTTGGTACTTACATGCTGAATGCAATCAATTTGCTCAGTCAAAAGTTTGAAAGCAGAACTGTGATACCATCAACTTTGACTTAAAAAGCAACTTATCACTACATCTTCTTGAACTGACTACTTAACGCAAAAAAATATTTGCAGTGTAGCCTAGCAAGATACAGAAATGCATAAGGGTTTTTGCTAATTAACTCTGCAATATTATTTACAAAGCAAAATGCTACTTGCCTGGTATGGACAAGGAATATGGTACTGGTCACAGTGGTCAAACACCCAAGTTGTCTCCCAGATCTTCCGGTTCACCAGTTCATAGACATAACATCCAAGAAGTGCCACAAGTGGCACTAAGTATAAACCACTAAAAACTCCAATTCTGATCATGAATTTTTTTAGCTTCTCTTGGTTTCTGCCATCATGCTGTATGACTTGCCGCACATGATTTAAAGAGATAATACCAGCTAATAGAAGAGAGAGACCGAAAAAAACACAAAGGCATAACGGCAAAAGCACAAAGTACAGAGAGGCATCCACATCATAGAGACCTACAAAACAAACTCCACTGATATTGTCCCCTTCCACTTTGTTCATTGCAAGAAGCATAATGGTTAGAAAACCAGGTATCCCCCACGCAACTGCATGGAACCACATGGCCTTCTGTGCAATAGCTTCACAACTCCATTTTCTTCCTGCTGCAAGGAACCAAGTGATTGTCAGAATCACCCACCATATTGTTCCTGCCATAGTGAAAAAGTACAAAACCATGAAAAGGACTGTGCAGGCTTTGTTTTGGGAGCCAAGAACAACCGTTTCCCCAATTTCTAGCTTATCATCTGCCTTGTTACAGGCAGTTCTATTCCCAAGAAGAAATCCAATAAAGTACATTAGAGACACTATGCTGTAACAGACGGAGTAATAGATGATCGGCCTCTCTGGGTACCTAAACCTTTTAACATCAATCAGAAAAGTAAGGAATGTGAAAAGCGTAGCACAAAGACAAAAGATTGAAACTATTCCAATGAAGCTTTTTGCAACATCCAATTCATAATTTTTGAAGTACATATTGGGACATGGTGGTGCACACTGATCGATGCCCAGAAATTTGTAGCCTTGTCCATTGGAAGTGTGTAGGTGTCGTGGACACCAGAATCCAAAATCCCTTCGTGCCTGCCCTGGGGTCTTCTGAGTTCCATGTGCGTTGGTGGTTACAGGAGCAGTGGCAGGAGCAGACTCATCACAATTGACTAGTCTAGGAAAAAAAACAAAAAATATTCATCTCTCTCATTATCAACGACAGTTATTTCTTACTGATAGGAAAAATCTGATTCCAAACACTTAACTTTTATATATAATGCAAAATGTGTGTTATATGAATATAAACTGGCTTTTAAAAAACAGATCAAAAACCAGACCAAATACATTGCCAGTTTAGAAGGCTCAAACACAACTGCTTAACTGCTGTTCTGCTTTACTGATTACAACACAATTTACTCAAATTGCAATGGTTCTTTTATAGTCTTAATCCAAAATTTTACACATGTGTACTGAGAACATTTATAGTATAGATTTTATCTTGATAATAATAGACTGTTGGAGAGACATAGTTAATGATCTGTCAAAACACAAGCTTCAAATCAAGGAACAAAGAATGAAGGCTCATAGTAACTTGAGCTAACTGATGACTGCCATATGATCGTGATAGTTTTGTGTTACAACGATACTTTACTGTTTACAACAACAGAACTATCTGAGAAAGACAAAAAGCAAAAAACATAAGCACTGCAACAAGCTCTCTGCTTCAGCAATTGTCTTCTAGCACCATAATGTTCTTTTAGAGATGGCTCGGGACTCAACTGCTTACAGGCTTAGCTAGAAAAATATGAACTTTTTTTAAAAAAACATTAATACAGGATTAGTGGTGTTGGCCAGATCTTCAAACAAGATTATTTAATAACAACTCAGGTACGCATTTACTCAAAAAGGAATTGATGTTCATTTGCATTCCAAATTTATGTATTTAAAAATAACACTTTTAGCATTTCAGCTTTTAAAGTGAGATTCTGTTACCTCAAAATGTTCTTTGTCTAATGCTATTATGTGCAGACCTTAAACGTAAAAATATTTTTCTCATTATTAATTTGGAAGCTCAGCTTGAGCTAAGAAACCTGCTCTTATTTTTCCCTCTGCATTATCACGCTGTCCAAACAAAGCCAGGATAATAACTGAGAAAACTGATTCTGTAGCAGGTTGTTTCAATAAACATGGATCAGACCACTATGCATCAGAACAGCAAAAACTTCATTCACACAGAATGGCCAGGGTTGGAAGGGACCTCAAGGATCATGAATCTCCAACTCCCCTGCTACATGCAGAGGGCCAACAACCTTCTCATTTAATACTAGACCAGGCAGCCCGGGGCCCCATCCAATCTGGCCTTGAACACTTCCAGGGACGGGGCATCCACAACCTCTCTAGGCAGCCTGTTCCAGTACCTCACCACTCTCTCTGTAAAGAATTTCCCCCAACATCCAACCTAAATCTTCCCTCCCTCAACTTAAAACCATTTTCCCTTGTCCTACAGTTATCTACCCTTTCAAAGAGTTGATTCCCCTCCTGTTTGTAGGCTCCCTTTAGGTACTGAAAGGCTGCAATGAGGTCACCCCACAGCCTTCTTTTCTCCAGGCTGAACAAGCCCACTCCCTCAGCCTGTCTTCATAGGGGACGTGCTCCAGTCCCCTGATCATCTTCATAACACGTGTCTCAGGAAGTATTATTTGTATCTGTAAGAATATAAGAGTGTGAATCTCAGAACTGCAGTTGAATTTGAGGCCCATCCTCATGCCAGCTGCTCTTCCACAGACCTTAATAGCAGCATCTCTGTTGTTTTCAGAACATTGCGCACTATTATATGGACTTCCCTGTACTGCCTGTTGGGCAGACAGCACTTCCCACATGAACAAAGTAAGAACATTTCCAGTAAACAGTAGCAATAATATAATAATTTACAGCTGTAATGACTGCTGGGGAAAAAAAAGGAATTTGAAGCATTATTTGAAATTTTCCTCAATTTTCAAACAAAGTTCTGGAAAGCATTTTCTAAACTTAATGGCATTATCATTTGAAAAAAGCTCAGACGAGATGAGAAAAAGTTGACGCATTCTCAGACTTCAATCCCATAGCTGTCATTTTTTTCCCCCACAGAAAAAAGGGAAATCGAGTTAATGCCATCTACCACATTCATCCCTGTACCAACATCTATCACGAATCATGGCAGAGGACTACTGTCTCAGCTCTGCCTCAGCACCAGCATGGATTAGTAACTGCACGGAGGCCAGAAACATGTTTTAAGTCTTTATTCCCTGCTGCTTTCCTGTACTTCTTGTAAAGAACATCTGGCCTTACACATTTACAGATATCTCCAGGTGAAGGTCAGAATCTCGATGTAGTATAAGCTGCCTTGTCTCCAAAGACCTGAACAACTGAGAGAAAAAGGCTGTCATCATTGAAAGTGAGACCTTTGCCATGAGGAATGGGGAAAGTAATGTAAGGATGAATTTGCATATACAAGTGGTTAGGACAAAGGTACAGTTTCTACTATTTAATGCTTCAACTCGGTCTTGGTCAACATCTGAAAATTATCACCTCCATCGCTTATCATGTGAACAAATACCACACCTGCTACATTCCAGCTCTTCAGGCCATGTGATTCCAAAAGTATCAATCAGTTGTTTGCAGTCGGAATACACTTTCTCACAGAGGTTACGGCAAGGGTGAATCACGTGAACTTGCTCCAGGCAGGCAGGAACAAAGGCTTTGCACAGAAATGTATGGACGTCTGGTGAACAGTGAAGATTCATGAGAGTAAGGAAAGGCTTTGGGAAAGAAAAAGGCTTTGGTTAGTCATTTCAAAGACACAATTCAAGTCAATAATACTACTTTTCACTACTAGGATTCATGCTTGCTCCTCTGGATATATGAAAAGCTAGAGAGTACCATTCAACAGTTGTGGAAGAGTCAAACCTGGTGACTTAGAGTGCTGAGGCATCAGACTCCTGGGCTACAATAGCTCTCCCAGTGTAGCCAGTACTCTGGGATCTCAGCTCATCTGCAACTACTGAAACCTGATTTTAATTATTAGCATTAGAAAACTGAAAGTAATCAAATCCTATATCCCTTTATTAGCTACAAAATAACTGGTCTGAGATATTTAAAGACACACCTGTCCTTGTGATCCTGTTGGAATTGTATTTATAGTTAGAGGTGTGTTGTGTTCATTTCCACTCAGGCTACAGAGTTCAGTGTTCTTCACTATTAACATAATCCAAATATCACTGTTGCCCATTTTTTAAAATGAGTTTCAAAATCTCAGTGTGACAGCTTTTCTACATGTGTTACTGAATGCTGGACAGTGAATTACTGATGACTGCTCCAAGTAGAGTTCACAAAATGAAATATATTGCAACACAACTTTGCCATTCCCTGTTCATTCAATCCATTACTTAAATACACTTTAAGGAATTTGCAACCCTGAAACACACTCTTTCTTTGCATTTTCCTAGCATTATTGCTAGGGTAAATGATTTTAAGTAAAATAGTACTATGCTTATAAACTTCAGATAAACCAGGAGCTGTTTTTCAGTTGGTCACTTTTCCAACTGCAGCACTGTTGTAAGGCCAGCACATTCAAGGAAGCAAGCAAGGATATATCTGCAGCAGAAGCACTCTTGTACTCATTAGGAAGCCAAACCCACTGCTATCCTGCTCTGCTACACACTGTTTGCTCTACTTTTTGACACCAGGTGAACACTCCTGATCCGCCTCATTACAGTAAACCAAAGAGCAAGGAATGCACTGAAAGCAACACTTCCTATTTCATTGTGTCAGCCCACTACAGAGGCAGTGTTGGTGCTGTGGCAGTAGAGGCTGAACCTTCCCACCCATTTTCTGTTGGACATTGCTCCAAAAATGATGCCTCCTATCTAATTTAAACAGCACTCAGAGCAGGGGATATTAACTGATGGCTGAGGGTAAAACAAATCTGCAAGATATGTCAGGCTGAGTCCTTTTCAGACAGCCTATTTGGTAACTTTTTGATAAAATGTCTTTTCTATTTCAGAAAAATCTTTGTATCACATATTAATAGTCCAGCTCATGCATCAGGAAAGCTGTAACAATATTTAACAGATTTTGAAACACGCTTCTGAATCAGGGCAAAGCTCAAAATTTTCTAAGCGTGGAGAGCTTCTGCTTTTGGAAAGGGTCCAGAGGAGGGCCACGAAGATGATCAGGGGGCTGGAGCACCTCCCCTATGAGGACAGGCTGAGGGAGTTGGGTTTGTTCAGCCTGGAGAAGAGAAGGTTGCGGGGCGACCTCATTGCAGCCTTTCAATATCTGAAGGGAACTTACTCCCAGGAGGGGAGTAAACTCTTCATAAGGGCTGATAATAGCAGGACACGGGGAAATGGTTTTAAGTTAAAAGAGGGAAGATTTAGGTTGGATGTTAGGGGGAAGTTTTTTACTAGGAGGGTGGTTAGGTCCTGGAACAGGCTGCCCAGGGATGTTGTGGATGCCCCGTCCTTGGAGGTGTTCAAGACCAGGTTGGACGAGGCTCTGGGCAACCTGATCTAGTAAAGGTGTATGTTTGGTGGCCCTGCTAGGCAGGGGGGTTGGAACTACATGATCCTTGAGGTCCCCTCCAACCCAGGTCATTCTGTGTGATTCTGTGATTCTGTGATTCTGCTAAAAGTACAACCTCTGAGAAGTTTCTTTAGATTACTGCCATTAACAGCTATGTATCTCAGCTACTCTGAATTCATCATCCCTTCCTGAACGGAGGCTGTGATGAGGAGGGGTTTGGCCTCTTCTCCCAGGCTACAAACAGGACCCAA